ATTTCCGCCATCTGCCGAGACATTCATAGCGTAGCACGCGCACCTACCAGTTACTGCAGTTGCAGTGCAGTGTAGTCCACCCTGATAACATCTTAACCACGCCAGGAAAATGATGCCCTCCACTTCTATCTTTCTGCCGAGGCATGGAGATTTCCGCACGTTGGGAAGCAACGGGCAGATCACAGGGTAAGTAGCCACTTCCCCAACGCAGACAGATCCGAGACGATCTTACGCCACATGCACTCGCCACGGTTTGCAGATCTCCCTGTGGCTGTGCATGCAAGTTGTCCAGGTACAAAACCGGTCGTCGTCCAACGTTGGGTTGCTATCGGAGTACGAAATATGAAGCTAGAAGACTAGAATGCTGCAGAGAGCTGCAAAGAGCTGCATATGTCCTGATGAAGGCCCATCTGGCGAAGTGTAGAATTGGAGATACGTGTCTTGGCGTATGCTGGTCATGGTAGTCCTCCGTCTATCCAGTGGTAATGCATGCTACATGGTTAGCAAGGCATGCAGTGGACTTACACATGATGCACGAAATAATTCGATTCTATATGCGCATGCGCATTCCTCTAGTCTCTCTGATAGATCCCTGCTATCCAGCATGCTCTCAGCAGGGCAAGACCCCATGCCATACCGATACTATCCCAGATTACATTGAGCTTGCTACCCATGACCTCCTTCCATCCAATAGCGACTTCAATCATGGCAATGTCGGCACTCTCTGCCAACATGAGCATTTCAACGTCGAAAATCCAGCCCTCGGAATGCATGTACGGCACAATGTATGGAAGTGATGGGCGCGAGAAAAGCTTGAAACCGCATTGTGTGTCCCTAATACGGGCAGTGGCCGGTGGTGTCATGACGCGGAGTAAGATGTGGAAAGAGTGCATGAGGAAGTTGCGAAGTCTAGAGCGCTGCACGACAGCTTCGCTGCCGACCAGGTGGGCTCGGGAGCCAATCGCAACGCCGCGACCATGCTTGTCTTCTATGCTTTGACATCCTTCCACTAGTTTGCCTAGGTCTGAGAAACGACTTGCGCCGTCAGCGTCTGCGAAGACGATGTATTTGCCTCTGGCGTGACGCATTCCGTGTGTGACTGCTCCGCCTTTCCCTCTGTTCTCTTCTAGAGTTATAACACGGATACTGCCGTGTGGAATGTGGGTTGAATGTGGTGACTTGGCGTCGCCGTTCTTCGACCATGGCCCTGGCTTTGACTTTGGATGTTGGCTCAATTGGTGCTCCTTCGCAAACTCCAGCGCCTTGTCGACCGTGCCGTCTGAACTTCCGTCGTTCACGATCAAGATCTCCCAGCCTTTTTGGCTCTTCTCACCCTTTCCACCAGCGTGTGCGTCTCCATACTCGCTCTGAAGGTAATCCACCGCCTCTTCCAGCATGCCCTCTAGGCGCTCCTCCTCGTTGTACGCAGGCACCACGACACTCATGAATAGCTCTGGTTCCTCGATAGGCATTTGTGGCGGTATCACGACCCTTTTCCCGGGCTCTTTCGCTGCTTCTTTCTTCGCATTCTCTTTCTCGGCTGCCCATTTATCTAGCCAACAAGGTAATTCTCGCGGGTCGCTTCGCGCGCCATCTGGTAGTATTGTCGTATATTGCTTTTCCGAACGTCGCGGAGGTCGCGGAGTGGGCGCTAAGAGGTTCAATGCCATGTAGGCCTATTCCTCGTGGTCGCATTAGTCGCGTGTAATTAGTCGTGTGCGCGCATGTGTTCATACCAGAAATCCCAGTACAGCCAGTAACACGCCTAATCCGACGACAATTACCCATATCGGAGGCATTTCAATAGGAAATCTCAAGTTTGACCCAAATCCATAGCCAGTGTCCTGGCGTTGCGTGCCAAACGCGCGGTTCTCTTTTGCCATAACGTGTGGTTGCGGGGCCCTCTTGAGGGCTGTCCAACGGTCGTGTTACCGAACAGCCGTTGACATTGAGTTTGGTGGCAACAATGATATCGAAGTACGAAGCGAATGAGTGTTATGCAGTGACAAAAGAATGAAAGCAATTATATTAACGCGACAGCCAATTGACGTACGAAGATGCAACGTGGAAGCTGACGTACAAGACGGCCCGAGGTCCATTCCTAGGTTAGTAAGCCCCGCGACTAGGTACCAGCGCTAGTGATGCCTTCGTTTCGTGCAACACAAACGTTCCTGATGACACTGCCCCTAGAAACACTCGCAATGTTCGCTCGTCTCTGATTCTTGTCAAAACAGAAACCTAGATTGGCTAACCACCTGCATCCATTAATGTTGGGTCTAACGCATCACCGATTCCCCATGCCAATGGACCGATAGACCGGTTTGGTACCAGCTGCCATCATCGTTGATTGAATCCACCAAGTACCAAACATGTGTCCCTGAAAAACAACGAGATTCCACTAACGTTGTTGCTGCGCACAACTGGCACAATACGGTTCCAAGCTTGTTTCAGTCTCGACAAACGGATCAACGCGCCAGACCTGCAATTTGTACCGGGGCATGGGTAGGCAGTCCCAAACATGTCTGCTCAGTATGCATCGCAGAAATATTGTTGATTACAATTGCATCTTTTCTTCCCTGTATTCGCTTCTTTCCCATCCCTACCAGTACTCTTAGTGTACCAGACATATGCTACAAGGCTGTGAGTCCAATTCGTAAGCGACCCACGTAGCGCCTTTTCTTAGTTTCGTCGCGATCTAGTACTTTCGCGTTGTTTTTCAGGCTAGAGCATCCTGTGGGAGCGCCTACGCGTTTATTACTTCGCTTGGGAACTGAGCAGTGGCGTGAAAATCTAAAAAGCTTTCGGCAAATGCGAATAGTACTGGGATCCTAGGATATGATTCGCCAAATAGTAGCTTGATGGGTTCCATGGTACGATGTGACAGACCATTCCTCCCACACACACATACGCGGGGATTTGATAGCCAAAATCTGCTACGAGTATCAAAGAGCATCTTCCTTGTCATATTTCACACTGAGTACCCCCGAATCTGTCAATAAACTTGACCATAGTAGCAGTCTAGATTACAGCTTATATTTTAGAGTAATCAGACAGCTATGAAGAATCAATACGATCTCGCCCGAGAAGGGTCAGGAAATCTTCTACTAGACAGGTTATCCACCTCCGATCCGATATCGTTGCGCATACGGCAAGCCTTCTGAAGCTCCCTGATGAGCTGCTATTAGATATCATCGACCAGCCCCCCCCCCCCCAGTCGCTTCGCGACCGACGCAACGCGCTTATTGCTCTTAACAAGATATGTAAGCAGCTCCGACGAATAGCGCTAAAGCCCCTTTACGCGCACCTGTACATCCCTGTCTGTAGGATTCCTCGTTTGGTTTCTTTTTATCTCGCGAATCTAGATCTGACAAAAATCATCTAGACGGTCGATGTGAACGGTCTGTAGGGACTGTATTCCAGCTACCTAGTCCAGATGCTATTTACAGTCAAGATGAAGAAAGAAGGTAAGACGCAAGCGGCGAGCCTGCTTTGTTTGGGTTGGCGCACGGCCCTCACGTTGCCGGGGAAGCGACTAGGCTAGCAGCCTAGTCATGTGACTCGAGGCTCAGCCCGTTACATTACCCCCCTCCTTTCCCTTTAGCGCGTAGTTTTCTCCATTTCCTCCAAGCGTCAGTCTTTAGTACGTTACTCACAGGTTCCCATGTCGGTTCAGTATAGTCCACCCACTTCACATATGCCTCCTTGATTTCTTTCCCTCCCTGCCTTGTTGTGCGTTCGCCCAGAATACGTTCAACCAGCCATAACTCGTCTCCATCTACAAGTATAGGCCCTGGCTGAGTGTCTCCAACCTTCTGCGATGGGAGAGAGTCGTTAGGCGCGTAGCGAAGCAGGTCTACGTGGAAGACAGGATGGATCTTCCCCGGAACGTCAAGTTGATAAGAGTGGGAGTTGACCTGCCTCAAGACTTTGTACTTTCCATGCAACCAGTCTAGCTTCTTGGAAGGTCGTGTTGTCTTCACGTTTCTAAGGTTCAAAAACACCCAGTCTCCCTCCTTGTATTGGGGCGCTGCTGTTCTTGTCTTGTTAGCTTGATGTTGCTGTTTCTCTTGTGTTATCGCGATCGCAGCTTGGGCCCACTCTGTTGCGTCTTGGAGTCTTTTAAGGAAGCCTTCTGCCAGTGCTTCGCCGTCTCTCTTTGGTCGGTCCTGAATAGTTCGATCCTCTACCAGCTGAATGGGTTCATTGTGATATCCGTGCATAAAATAGAAGGGGCTTAGGCCAGTAGATGAGGCCTCGCGATTGTTGATTGCTCCCATAACGATAGGTAAAAGTGCTAGCCAATTTTCTTGCGTGTAGGTGGCCCAGATTCGAATCATCTTCTCAATCTCTTGGTTCATTCGCTCTGTTGCACCATCGGTTTGCGGATGATAGGCAGTCGACAGGCGTTGCTCAACGCTGAGGAGTTTACAGAAATGCCTCCAAAGATCGCTGACGAATTGTGGTCCTCTATCGCTCGTAATTGCCGTTGGAATACCATGAATAGGGTAATGCCGTTCTAAAAGCCGTTGTGCTACTGCTTCTGCCGAGATATCGTGCATGCCTTCCAGTTCAACTCCCTTTGTCAGCCGATCAGTGACCACCATGCAGTTCGTTGCGTCATCGCGTCCAGATGGCGGCAAGTCCGTAATAAAATCGATTGAAAGTTCTCCCCATATACGTTCTGGGATCGGTAGCGGTTTAAGGAGGCCCTTCTTTGTCTCTCTCCATATCGTATTCCTCCCGCAAATCTCGCAGTTACGGACAAAGCGTCGCACGTCGCTTGCTACACCTGACCAGAAGAACTGCCTTGATAAGATTGAGTAGGTAAGATCTCGTCCAGGATGGCCGGTGATATGCGAGTCGTGAATATTTTGAATAATTCGTGTGCGAAGTGGTTCGCAGTCAGGGATCCATATCCGGTCTCGAAATCGCAACAGGCCTCTCTCGTCCAGGGTGCATTCTGCTATACTCACTGACTTCTCCTTCTGAAGTTTGGTAGGGAGGTTCCGCTCCTTGTTTGCTACCAGCGTAGTGAGCTCCTGATAAAGCTCATCCTCTTGGCGGCTTCGGTGCCAGAGATTTTGCATGTCCTGGTCCTCAAACATGCGTATCTCTTCTGTGAAGTCAATCTCCTCGGACGACAGGGACTGGATTTGAACACTCTGCAAGTGCTTGCTCTGGAAAAGACGGATAAATCGAGACCGTATTCGTTCATCGTCGTAGTTGGCGGGTAGGTCTTGTTCTCGTCGTGACAGGGCGTCAGGTTTTCCCATAGTCTTTCCAGGTTTCCATTCCAGGGAGAAGTCGAATCGTGAGAGAAACTCTGACCAACGTACTTGTCTTTCAGACAGCTGTCGTTCGCGGTAGAAGTATTGAAGGTTCTTGTGGTCCGTCAGAACTGTGAACTTCCTAACCATACGTAGTTCAGGAGCCCATGCTTCTAAGCAACGAACAATAGCTAGAAGCTCCTTGTCATGAATTGGATAATTGGCCTCTGTTGGTGAGTGCTTCTTTGAGTAGTAGGCAACGGGTTGCCAGTTGTTGTTCTTGTCCTTCTGCAGTAATAGGCCGCCAGTTGCATGTCCTGAGGAGTCGGCTTCTACCAAGGTGTCCTTCTCTGGATCAAAATGGCCGAGTATTGGTGCTGTAATGAGAAGTTCCTTAATCGTTTCAAATGCTTGATTGCAAGCCTCGTCCCAATGAAAAACCATCTCTTTCTTAGTTAGGTTGATAAGCGGTTCAGCAATGTCCGAGAAGTTTGGTATAAAAACTCGGTAAAAGTTGGCAAAACCAATAAATGCTCGGATAGCCTTAACTGACGTTGGTGTAGCCCATTCGCGGATTGCGATAATCTTTTCAGGATCAACTCGAATGCCCACTTCTGCTTCCACAATGTACCCGAGGTATTTGACTCGTTTAGTCTCGAACTCGCACTTGTCGATATCAATCTGCAGTCCAGCGTCTATAAGGCGTTGAAGAACCTTTCCAACCTTCTCTCTGTGATCCTGAAGCGATCCTGACGAGTAGATTAAGATGTCGTCAACGTAGGCTGAAACAAAGTCGTCAAGGTAATCCTGTAGAACACCATTTACGTAGCGTTGAAATGCGGCTGGTGCTCCTGTTAGTCCGAAGGGAGCAACCCGCCATTCGAATAGGCCGTATCTTGTTCGGAAAGCTGTCTTCCATTCTTCTCCTTTGGCCACACGGATCTTGTGGAAGGCTGCGATAACGTCAAGTTTTGTGAACCATTTAGCTTTAGCTACATTTCTCAGTGTTTCTGTGAATAGAGGCAGAGGGTAACGGTCCTTCCTGGTGATGTTGTTCAAGCCTCGGTAGTCAACGCAAAATCGGATGCCCCCTCCTGGCTTTTTGACCATCAGGACGGGTGCAGCTGCGGGAGAGTTACTTGCGCGGATAAAATCCTTGTCTAACAGCTCGGTGAGAGTTTTCCTAAGCACTAGTAACTCTTCTCGGCTCATGCCGTAGAGCGGACCCCATGGAATGGTCTTCTCGTTTCCGTCTTGATCCTTTTCAATCTCAATGTGGAGATCAACGCCTTTACGATGCGGGGGAAGTTTCTCAGCTAGGAAATGGTCGAAAGCCTTCAGCCATTGGTGGTACTGGGGTGGGAGCTTCGTCTTTGGATCGGATCGTTTGCGCGGTTTCAAAGCTTTCTCAATGTCGGCGATGGAAACAGCGAACAGTCCAGTGTCGAGCGCAATACCGTCTCCTTTGTTCTTCCTACGGCTTCTTCTCACCTCCGCCATGAATGCGGAAGCCATCACCTGAGTAGCCTTCATTAGTGGTGGCTTGTATGACGCTTTCTTGTGGTTCCATGCGCGGATGTTTGACGCGCCGATATCTAGGCAGCCTTGTTTGGCCG